CGCAAGCGGGCGCCGGAGGCTGAGCTGGCTGGTGGGACGGACGCGGCCAAAGCCGGCGCCTTAGCCGGGCCCGAGCTGGAGCGGAGGCTGCAGCCAGGGGCGGCGCAGTCGGTGGGAGCGGGCGGGTCGGGCTTCATGGCGCCAGCAGCGTCCGTCTGAGCAGCGCGGGCAGCGACGGGTGGCGGCCAGGCCGGGCTGCGGCTCTTCCTCGCCATGGGGGACGTGCTGTCCACGCACCTGGACGACGCCCGGCGCCAGCACATCGCAGGTGAGTCCCGCGCCGCGCGCGCCCGGGGACCCGCCGGGAGGCCCCGGGCCACGCCCCCACCCAGGTCCACCGTCCGCACTGGGACCGGGGGCACCGGAGAGTCGGGCCTGGGCGGGGCGGGAACTGCTGTGGACCGCGTCCCACGTCCAGTCTTATTCCCTTCGCGTCTGGGCGTCCCTTCCTGCCCTCTTCTGAGTTGGCCCTTCCCCCTCTCGCGGGGACTCGAGCCCTCCCTCTCGTATAGGAAACCCCTTGGAAGCTCTGTCCCTCCTCAGACCCTTTGCATTGGATCCCCCTACACGTTACCCCTGACCAGGCTGTGGGCGGGGTCGCAGATCCCCCCACCTCGGGTACCCCTGCCCAGAAGCGTTCCAAGTCCATCCCCTCTCCTCCTCACAATGCCTCCCCCACCTCCCAAAAGCGCCTGTTGACAATCTTCTTCAACTGTCTTGGTCCCCAGCTTGCCCTGGACTGAGCTCCAGTACACGTGGCCGAGGCTTCCAGGGAACTGGGCAGGAATCTGAGCCTGGGGAGTGGGACCAGCTATAAATGGGGTGTACTGGAGGGGGGTCCACTGTCCTTTTGGCTCAGACTCAGCAGGATGCCCCTGCTGGTGGCCATGGTCAGGGTGGGGCGGGGGGGGGGCGTTGGCCAAGGCCGGGGCCAGGCCTCCTCAGACCCCTTCTCCTTCAGCCTCCCCTGCTTCCAGCCTGTCATTGCACAGTGGCCACTTCTCGGAAAGGCAGCTGCTCCCAAGGCTCCTAAGGGAAGCCCTGGGGCTGCAGCAGGGTCCTAGGTTCCTCCTCCCCCAGACCCAGGAGTATGGGGAGAGAGGGTGGGAATCCCAGGCTGCCTGGGAAACTCAGCTCTGTGGCTAACCTCTCTAGCCTGGGGTGAGGCAGCCCTGGTTGGAATCCCAGCATCTGTTTCCCAGCCGTGTAATCTTGGAAAAGTCTCTTAATGTCCTGGCGCCTTGGTTGTCTCCTCTTTGAAATGGGGTGAATGATTTCTTCCTTATTAATGGATTGTTGAGAGACTTAAATGAGCTAATTCATGGAGCTTGGCTAGCACAGGACCTGGCCTAGAAGAGGCATTGATACACAGGGTGCCTGTGTGCGCGCGGTGTGGGGGCAGCCCATGGAGAGAGGAGACAGTTCCTCTTGGCTGAATTTGCCTGTCCCTCCCTGTCCAGTGGACTCAGAGTGCCGTGTCCACTCACACTTATCTCGCTACCTTGTAGTCCTATAGAGTTTCAGCAGCTGTGTTCACCTCACACCCCTTGAGAACAGTGACCAGGTTTCCCTTAACTTCATGTCCTCAGAGCTCCACCCAGGCTGGACACAAAGGAGGTGCTGGGGAGAGCTTACCAAGGGACTGTGGTCCTGGGCCAGTGGCCTGAGCTCCTCCTTTGTGCCAGGTCTGGGGCTGGGCATGGGGTGGGAGTTATGTAGAAATGAATCAGGCTCTCTCTAGCGGAGGAGGACCAGCAGGGGGGATTAAGTCCTGGACAGTGTCCTTGTAGGACTCTGGGAGGAGGAAGGGCCTGGTGGAGTTTTCCTGTCCCCTCCCCCTGTCGGTAGCAGCCTCCTGGGGCTCTGTAACAGTCCACCCATTCAAGACCTCCTGCTGGGGCCCCTCACATGGCCTGGGTGGGGTGCGCCTGGCCCTTCTGGTGGGATTTTTCCTTTCCCCACACCCAGCTCTGGCTTCCCCCTCTTCCCACCTCCTGGGCTGAGAACTGCCACCCCACCCTCCTCTCCCCTGGCCATTTTACAGGGGAGGAGACTAAAGCCACAGAAGGTGAAGTGTCCTCTATTAGAGAGGGTTGGGTTTGTTTTGTGGATGCCGGGCTGGGCAGAAGAGGGTTGTGCCCACTCAGACCCTACTGGCCTCTCTCTCCTCAGTACTTCAGTGCTATTAATAACCCTCTTCAAATGCCTCAAATTCCTAGTCCAGGCTCACCTGAAGGGGCTCCTGAAGTAAGGGAAGGTGGGAGGTTGGAAGGGGGAAAAAGCCAGGAAGCTTCCCAACCCCCTGCATGGAAGCTCTCTGCCTAGAAATATCTGTTGGAGGGAAATGAGGGTGTGCCCTTGCCATTCCCCGTGATCCATGCACCCGCCTCACCCTACCCAAGGAGCAGTGGGCATTTGCATACCACACTATTAAATTGTCAGACCCCTCCCTACCTGGGGCCTGTGTCTCCACCCAGGAGACGTGGGCCACCCCTGTGGAAATGTCAGCATTTGGAATATCCCTTTCCACAGTGCTCTGAGCTCCCAGGCCTGTTTGAGTTCTGTGGCTTGGCTAGTGGTGCTGGCAGCTTTGCGCCTGCCCCGAGCAGGTGAGCAGGTGAATGCCAGCCTGCAAGTCCTGGCAGAGGTCAGGCGCGCTCCAGCCCATGGTGCTGTTTTGCTGCCACGGCACCTTTCATCCTGGGATTTCAAAGCCCCTGGCAAGCAGGAACTTGTTCCCACACCAGCGGCCTCATGGGGCTGATGGCAAGATGATACCTTCCTACTTTCTTGAGGGCACTTGCGGAGAGGAGAACACCGGCCCGGAGCCAGGAGGCCTGTGTGACTTTACGCAAGCTACTTACTTTCTCTGGGTCTCAGTTTCCCTAGCTGTAAACTGAAGGACGTTGTGCTACCTGATGGCTGAAGTCCTTTCCCTTTCTGAGGGACTAACAGTCCCAAAATTTTCCCACAAATCTGCTCCTACAGACTTGAGCCAGCTCAAGGTCCCAACACAGATGGGACTGACCTTGGGTCAATGTCTTACCCTCTATTTTCTTATCTGTAAAATGGGAATAATAATAGTGCCTCCCTACTAGTTACTGAAATAATGCAAGTAAAGAGTTGGGCTAAGGCACGTGCTTGAGGCCAGCACTTGGGGCATAGTAAGTGCTCAGTAAATAATTGCTATTGTTATTGAGATGGTCATTTACTCTCTGGCACAGTTCCAACGTACCAGCTGCTTCACGAGAGAAAGATATGGTGGTCTGCTTCTGTGGAGATTTACAGCCTTGGAAACCCTATGGGGCAGTTCTACAGTTCTACCCTGTCCTACAGGGTCGCTATGAGTCGAAATTGACTTGATGGCAACTCATTTGGTGTTTTGGTTTTATCTGGTTCTGTGGGGGCACTGGTGATTCAGTGGTAGACTTCTTGCCTTCCATGTGGGAGACTTGGTTCGATAGCCAGCACGCATCTGTCAGTGGATGCGTGTGTGTCGCTATCATGCTGAATAGGTTTCAGTGGAGCTTCCAGACTAGGAAGAAAGACCTGGCTATCTACTTCTGAAAATCAGCCAGTGAAAGCCCTCTGGATCACAACCGTCTGATCCCATCGTGCGTGGGGTCGCTGTGAGTTGGGGGCCAGTCTTGAGGCAGCTAACAACAACAGCAACATCTGATTCTGTCATGGACAAGGAGACTGGCCAGGCATTTGGAGTTTGAAGGGGGCAGTTGCAGCTGTGGTTTGGATCCTGTTTCTCCCAGGTTTGTCCAGCCCTTGGGATCAGGGTAGGTACTGGTTCCCTGAACGCGAGATTCCATGCAGGGTTTCAGGTGCTTTAGTTACCGAGTTTCTTCCACTTTGGCAAATGTGGGCCGTGGATACGGGCTGTCTGGATCAGCTCCAGACAGCAGTGATGGAGGGCCATATGAGTAGTGGAAGAAGGAATGGGGCGTGGAGAGGTGGGTGATTAAGCTAACTCACACTTTCCACCTGGCCCAGAGGACTAAGACAGAGGATAGAAGAGTCTGGAAGGCCATGCCTGTGCTGTATGAGGAGTTCTTTGCATATAGTCAAAACACATAAACCAACATGGAACAGGTGAAGGAGTAAGTTCACTGTTGCTCAAGATGTGCAAGTCGGGGCTGGATGACAAGCCCCCTTTGCCTGGCAAGAAACCTGGCATTGGCTGGGCAGTGGCCCTTTGGCCTCTTGGAGAGTTTTGAGGAACTGACTGTTGCTATGGAAATTCTGTTGACCAGGATGAAATTGTGGTGGCATAGGAATCCCCTTCACCCCACTGTCTTAGGAAGGCTGGTGGGGGAGTTTAATAATAGCTTTATTGAGATATTATTCAGATATTGTACAACTCACATATTCAGTGATTTTTAGTATATTCACAGAGTTGTGCAGCCATCACCACAATCAATTTTAGAACATTTTCATCACCCCAAAAGGAAACCCTGTACTTGTGAGCTGTCACTCTCCATTTCTCCCCCAACCCTTCAGCCCTGGGCAACCACTGCTTTTTTTTTAATTGCAAAAGTAATGCATGTACAAACAATTTAGGATTATATACAGTAAAACAACGGAAGTCCCCTCCGTCTTCCCTCCCTTCAGTCCCACTCCCCAGAAGAAATCACTTTAAGTTTGGAGAGCCACTGTTTCCAAACACACCACTGTGTACACACTCATATACCTTTGTTTATAAAGAGATCACATTATACGTTTCTGTGGTTTGATTTTTTTTCACCCAGTATATTGTGAACATCTTTCCGTGTCAGAACATACGGATCTCCCTCGTTCTTTTATTGGTGGATTCCTTTCTGTTAATGGGCCAATTTATTTACACAGTCTCCTGCTAGGGGACATTTGGGTTGTTTTCAGTGTTCTAGTATTCACAGTGCTGCCTGAACATCCTTGTACACATCCTGCACAATGTTCCAGAATCAGAGGGGTCTCAAAAGCAAACCCCTGGGTTGTTGCATTTTGATGTATTAACATATAGCTTTTTAAAAGGCTGTAAACAATTGATACTTCCTCCTGTCAGTACCCACCCTCATCAGTAGTGGGGACTGTCACCTCTAGGTGGGTTCAAACCGCCAACCTTTTGGTTAGTAGTTGAGCACTTAACCATTTGTGCTACCTAGGGACTCTGATTGACAATCAGATATGGGAAAAATGATATCTTGTTTGTTTGCTGAGTAAAACAGTTTCTCCCAATTGATTTTAAAAATCTGCCACTCCACATGTGGAAAATGGCTGTAG